AAGAAAGAAAGAAAGAAAGAAAGAAAGAAAGAAAGAAAGAAAGAAAGAAAGAAAGAAAGAAAGAAAGAAAGAAAGAAAGAAAGAAAGAAAGACCTGTGCTTCTATAACCTAAGGTCATTTTCCTCAAGGACCTGTGTAGAAGTTTGGGGGTGGGTGCTCTTCATGTTATCGGCTGGGAGGGATGTAGGGCATTTCTGTTGATCCTCAGCCTGTCACAGAAAGTCACACTCTGTTGCAAGGACACACAAGGAACCAGGAAGTCAATCCTCAGCAGGAGGGACAAACAAGTACGTTTCAGTCAAGTGGCACTTCTTGAAGCAGGATTAGACCATGCAAAGAGATCAAACTCGGCTGTCTGCCACCAGCTGACGAAGGTCGGACACCACTCTAGACAAGAGAATTGGTCTCCCCGTCTGCGGCTGCTAACAGTGGGTGATTTCAGAAAGGAGCTTCCTAGGCCTGCCTGGTCAGAGCTCAGCCAAGACCCAGAAAATAATAACCCTCCTCATTCCCCGAACACCCTAGTCTAGAGTGTCCCTGGAAACCCAGTTCCTTCCACGGCACCTTGTGAGGGGTTCTCTGACGTCCCTGTCTGAATACAGTTTGCCAGGGAGCCTGCCATCTCCCACACTGCATACACTTTCCAGAGTGTCTTGTGGGTACGCTCAGGCACCCACAAGTGAGGCCCAGGGTGTTTTCACTGGGGTCTCCAAGTATGGTGGCCAAATTATATACAAAAATAGGAGCCCAGTTTAGTTTACATTTCGCATAAACAAATACATTTACAGGATCTACTCAAACAAACAAAAATCTCTATATTTTTCTGTGCGTATATATTGGGCCTAGTGTTTCCTGCATGTCCCCAGGCAAGGCTGCCAGAGTAAATAGATAGAAATGGGACGTGCCTCATTAAGTTTCTAGGAAACAACACACACATTTTTGACATGTCTTAAATGTTGCATGGGACATACCTAGAGTGAAGAAGCGATTTGCCACTTCTGAAACAGAGATTTAGCTGAGTGTTTGCAGTTTGCCTGTTAGAAGACGTGCCAAATCCCTCAGCTGCCTGAGGTAGGCTGCCCCGTGTCTCCGGGAAGTCTCACGAAGCCTCATTCTCTCTTCCTTCCTCAACGGGGCAGCTCAGTGCAATGTGGAATTTTAAACTTCCCTGTAATCTCAGCCTGGCCTGACTTCAGACTGCCTCTCGGGCCACCAGCTCTGTCACTTAACCTCCAGAGTCCACCTCAGACACGAGGCCTTCATCCTCGCAGGGGCACACAAAATGAAATTGTGTCAGCAGAGGACTAGTGCATGTTGTGAGCTAGATCACCCCAGGGCTTTCCCTGAGGCCCCGATGTATGGAGACAGAAAGTAGTTCCATCTCTAAACCAGGAACATGCTTAGCAGAACCAGAAATGGGCTGCTGCCAGGGCCTTGGGGGAGCTGCGGCTTGCGGATTTTGAGAACCTCTTTCTACCCTAAGGGGCTATTGGTTATCAGTCCCCAAATTGCTGCATGTTCCTCTCTGACATCCTTGAGGTAGCCTGTGTTCCCCTTGGGCAACACTGATTAGCTACCTGCTGGCTTTGTCCCAGGATGGCTTTCTGCTGACTCTACCCCATTTTTCTCCCCAAAATAGTATATAAGATGCTGTACTTCTGAACAAGCTTGCTTGGCATAAGACACAGCTTGGGCAGGAAAGCCCTGACCCCGGCTTTCTGTCTTGTATCTTTCTCACCTCCTGGCCCTCCCACTTAGGAACCCGTCACTGAAGAATGGCCTGTTGGTTCAGGTCAAGCACCCACTCCCTACTGTATAGACCCTGGTAGAACCAGGTTGGCCAACCCCTTGGCACCCCTCCACGCTCTTCTACTGTGGTGACAGGAAATGAATACAGCAATGCAGTGTGTCCCAAAGAGACGGGAAAGGAGGGTAGAGATGCCATCTCAGATGATGTCTTGCTTTGCCCTCCTACAGACAGGTGAGAGTCAGGCTGTGCTGGATCCTGCGGTCCCAAGTTCATTCAACGTGTCCTCAAGACAGTGACTCTTGGAGGAGGCACCCCCACGGGCTGGATGGGAGTGGCCTGCTGAGAAATCCTGCAGCGGAGAGGCTGGTAGGGTAGCAGAGGAATAACGTGGCCAGACGGAGTCTCAGGGAGCTGGGGGCAGTTCCGAACAAAGAGGCCCTTGTGCGGAATGGCCCACTCTCTCCTGAGCTGTGTTCTGTGAGCGAGGGCACACAGAGGAGGCCTGGGATGGCCCCCTCACACACACAGATTTGCTCACTCTGCACAGCCGCTGACAGGGGACACCCAGGCACTGACCCCTCTGTTCACTTCCCATGAACATTCTGGTCCCTGAGCACCCCTGTGCCTGGCTTCAGGCTCTCGGGGTGGGGGGTTATATTAATGAATCTAATCTCAGTGGGAACTGGTCTTCTGAGGGGATCTGATTGGGTGTACCCACTGGGCCCACCCACCTTTACAGAAGCTGGAAGGGATCCATAAACAGTCCTCTGAAACGCTGAGCCTCACAGAACTGTAGGAAGCCTGGTGTGGCAGGGAGGAACTTCAGAGTCAGAGGCTGGAAAGTCCAGCCATGCTTGCCCTGCAGTGTCCTTAAACCAGGGACTCCCAGGCGCTCTCCACTGGGCTGGTACCAAGGCAGGGCTGGTACCAGAGCATGTCTATCCTCCTTGCCCTCTAGCTGGGTGGCTGCAGACTTTTTGTGACTAGCTGCCTGGGCCCCACATTTCTCAGTTCTATGGATAAAACTACCATCTGCACACGTGCCAATCTGTTGATGTTCCCACAGAAGAGTCTGTTGCGGTATCTCAACATTCACACAGCTTATAGTAACATTCAGTGTGCACTTTATTTTCCAAAAAGTTTAATTTTCAATGCAATGTGTGTAAAATGTCCTCAGAGCTGATATTTAGACAGTCCCTTTCTTTCCCAGCCCAGCTCCTGTGCAGGCTTGGGGGAGGTAGAGAAGCAATTCCAAGGCTCCTACTTCTCTCCTACCCACTCTAGAACTCATTTACTGCCCTTCTTAAGACACAAGGATCTCCTGTGGGGCATGAGGACCTGGAAAGCCTATGAGCACAAACACTAGCTCCCGTTCAAACTGGTCCTCTGGAAAGAACGGCAATGCCAAGTCCTTACCGGTGTCTCAAGACCAGCCCAGGCTAGACTGCTGCTGACCCATGACCCCACGTCCTGCTGTGGGCTCTTTACCGCTGATGTTCAAAGTGCTCCCACACCACGAGGAGGGGGAGGGCCACTTTCCCTCATCACAGGCCGGTCGGTGCCCCAACATTGGTCTCTCTCATCTGGCAGCCCTGGGCTCTTGCTAAGCACTGCCTTTGCCCCTCCATGCATGTGAGCCCGTGCCAACTGACTCACATACCAAGGTCTAGAACAGCACCTCGTACACACAGACCTCAGGAAGCAGCTTGCTAATATTGCCATCTTCCTAAAGCAGGGTGCCACCTTGAAGACTCAGAGGGTTCCAGCCTCAACATGAGGGACACTAATAATTCAATACCCAATAACTGACACCAGGAAACATCAAAACTCTTAGCACTTCAGTGTTACTTGAAATCAGGTACTTTCTAAGTCGCAGTGTGTGCATGTTCTTGAATTGCCACTGAACTTAAAACACGCTGCTGTGTTGAAGAGACGGCTCAGTGGTCAAGAGCTTTTGCTGTTTCTCCAGAAGACCGGATGAGGTTGGCTCCCAACACCCACGTCTGGCGGCTCACAACTGCCTGTAACCCCAACCCCAGAAGATTCTACCAATGCCCGCTTCTGGCCTCTGTGAACACCTGCACTCACATGCACATACCCATATGGACCCAGACATATACATAAATAAAAATAAATCTTTTTTTAAAATGTTGATGGAAGAGTTAAGAAATCATGCTGGGGTCCAAGAACTTTAAGTTTAAAAGAAAACACTAATACACTAAAAGGCAAGCCTATAGGATAGACCCAGAGTCAACATGTATCATCAGTACATAGAAAAGGGAGAGATACAGGACTGGTGTCTGATCCTATTTGTTAACAAAAATAAAATAGGCATACATACTGTACTTGAGAATATGACTATGTGCATATGCATACCATAATATACAGAATTATACCCGAGAAGATGGAGAAACAGTCACTTTTACGTTAGACATATTTGTTTTAAAAGTTTTTTTTTTCTACAGCACATAGCCTTCTCACAATAAAAAAACGAAGGAAATATCAAAGAATGCCACCCCCCCACACACACCCTGATGCTTTTAGCTGCTGTTTAATTTTTTTTTTTTCTGCATCACTAGTATTAGCCACAGTTTCTTTACCACATGCAGTTTGGGAAA